GTCTGGGCCTCCCTTCTGAAGCTGCTGCCCCCGCGACCCGACCCCGGATAGGTGGAAGAAAATGGATGGATGGATGGAACACAGAGAAATGAATTGGATGAAACTCATTGAATGTAGCCCCCTGCCTTTCTTCTCACAGTTTCAAACTAAGATCATGTGAGAAACTCTGGAGCTGCACGCTAACTGTTGACTAACAGTGATCGGCTGTGGCTGACTTCAGCAGTTTGAGTCCTAAAGTGAGTTATGTACAGAATGTGATTACTTTGTAAACGCCTCAGTGAGGTATAACTGGAACAGTCACAACATTATCAGCTTCATCTTTGGTGAGAAGAACCTGCAGCTCAGACTCCAGACTCAGACTACCATCAGAGCAGTGTCCTGTCACTCACATGACAACTGTTTGTTTCTCCTCTTCTTTGTTGCAGACATAGACGAGTGTGAGACAAACTCTCACCACTGTAACCCCACCCAGGTGTGCATCAACACAGCAGGGGGCTACACCTGCTCCTGCACCGAAGGCTACTGGCTCATCGGTGGGCAGTGCCAGGGTGAGACGACTGCTGTGTGCTTTTCAAAATAAAGTTTCATTTTTGTTCTTTTACACTGAAGGTGAGCCTTGAAGTGTCTGTGACATCAGATGTTATAAATATGAATGCTTTTTTAAAAGATAACATTAATCACAAACAGGAAAAAGACTTGACACAGCTGAGAGTCACGTGATGTAACAGGAAGTGATGTCAAAGGGGAATGTTTGCATGTGAACACAGATTGTTACAATAACTAACAACAGAGAACAGAAGAATCTGATGTTTCTTTAGGTTATTTTGAGTCACTATCCAGAGAGAAAAAGAAAAGTCAAAGTTCAAATAATAATGTAAAAAAAATATTAAAACAAAAACAGGGAGTTCCACTTTTTAAAAGGTTCCCCTTTGATGTCACTTCCTGTTTCACTTTGGCTGAGCCAAGTTCCAAAGAAAATATGCCACTTCTGTGATGAAATGGGTAAAATCGTGTGTATTATGCCAGGTTTCCAAAATATAATGTTTCTTTCTTTGACTTTTTGTATTTGAAGGATGAACATGTCACAGGCACTTTAATGGTTCTGAAACCCTTCAAGTTCTCTGAAGGTTTAAATAAAAACTAAATCATCCCTTACTGTTTCTGTAAAACCTACAGGTGTATATATATATNTATATATACTTCTAAAATCTGCTTTCTACTTTAATTTTCAAAAGTTGTTAATCTTCAATAAATCTACCCGTTTTGAAAACCAAACTTTGGTATATAAAAAAGTTTGGCACAGAAATTATCATTATTTTTATTTTCACTTCTGGGTCAATAGCAGTAAATTAAAAAAAAAGATTTTCATCAAGGAAAACAACATTAGGGGTTTGTATATTTAGGAAAAGTTTGTATATCCGTGCCGGCAGCATATTGCGAGGTTGTAGGTCCTTTTTGTTTTCAATATTTAACTTAGTTTATTTTTAGAACTCGCTGTTTCCACATTTCACAGTCAAACTGCAATTTTCCAAATAAACACCACCTGTTTTGCACAGACAGCTAAGCTTTCAACTTCAAACAGACACAAAATTTTAGCATTATTTTCTCTGTCCCTGGCAGCTTAGTAAACACTCTGACATATAATCCTTTTATACCTCTCATTTGCTCCTCATCAAAAAAAAAAGGGTAAAAAATTCCTTCTGCTCTTTCTGTAGAGCCATGATTATGTCTTTGGTGAGCAAGCTGCTTTAGCTTCATTTTTGGGAAAACAAATAAGAAATAGTCATATCTAAATAAAATAATTTATCATCTGAAAACTGATTAATAAAAAAAACAGAATGCCGACATGCTGAACAAATATTAAATCTGATGCAGAAACAAATGCTTATACTGTTTAAATTAACTTTTTGTTTTTTACTTCTCATCTGAAGTGGGACACCAAACAAATATGTAAAATAATGTAACAAACATATACTGTATATTAAGACAGGAATTGATGATATTCTTATGCCGAATGACTGTTTCCATCAGTAACAATTTAAAGAATCTGTAAATACAGGCTTGTATGTGAAGTATGATTCATTCACTGTTTAAATTGTTGAATCAACACATAAATATAGGGAAAATACAAATCACACATAAAACAGACCCTTAAACTCAAACATTTCAACTAGTTTCTCTTTGTTCAGCAAACTAAACGTGTAGTTATAAATTCCTGTATGTTGATAATAAAAACAGGAATATATAAAGAAAGCACAAATTATTCTTTAAAAATCACAAAAGGGCTCTTTATAGTTGTCCTAAAAGATCAACAGAGTCTTTGCTTCATTTTCTTTTACAGAAGTTCATGTTGATGTCTTTGGTGGATAGAATTTAATGCTCCCCATGAAATGTCGTGATAAAACACTGATGGTTTCTATTTGCATAAAGCTCGCTCACAGAGCTGTATATAGGGAAATGATTTACCTGTGTTGTGAGCCGGTGCAGCAAGCGTAGTGTTTTTTATGTTTGTGTTATATCACATCACTTAGTTCAGGGTGGCAGAGAGCACAGCATTCTCTCTTTTTCTCACCATTTCTATTTATGGAAACATAACACCATGAATTCTCTTGCCGCCTCTCCTCTATTTAATGTGGCCTCATCCAGGCTTTCCTCCTCCCCAGGGCCACCTGGATGCTTCTCACAATTTAGACTTGTAACACTATTGATTCACATGTAAACAGGACACTGTTCATATTTTCCCTCGGCGCGGTCTCACCTTAACTCATACATCAATACAACTCTGTTCTTATCCCTAACTTTTGCTATATACACTCACAAAATGACACCCAGCATAAGCAACACATATAAATATGATAATGTAAAAATACAGCACGACTGCATGTGGGATTCATTCCAAGATTCCACATTTAAAAACCAGATGCTGCTTAGCGGTAGCGTGTATGACCCCCGCACGAATGAAAAGCACCAATGCACCAGAACTCAGAAGTCACAAGAATGGATTTATTGTTTTTTGGGTGGTGGTCTGTAGCGGGTGGGGGATGTTCATTAGTGGGCCCGACGGATGGCCCTTAATCAAAAAAATCCAAATATCAGAAGTTCCTAAGTTGAATAGTTTTTGAGTTATAAGCAGTTTTGTATGTCCAGACATAGGTGTAATTTGCAGGGGCGGGGGGCTTATGACCCCCTCAGTAGTTTGATCCAGTCAATATAACCCTACCCAATAAAATGGTATAATTTGCTTTAACACAATTGAAATTAACTGGTTGAATAGACAGATGCAACTCTCTTGTTGTCCTTGGCTAACTTTGACCTGGTTTAAAAATGTACGATGTCATAATTGCTGAAAATGATATGCAGGACTTTGATCAGGGATGTCAAACTCACTTACACTGAGGGCCACGTAAGTGTTGTGATGGAGGACCAATTGTAATCAACTTCAATGTCTCGTGTTTAACTTCCACTAAACAGGAAATGCCATGTTCCTTTTCTTATTACGAACAAACAATAACTCTACGAGGTTTTTCCTTCACAAAAACAGTGATTTAATACATTCTCTAATAAATACTGAAAAGTACTGTGTGTACGACTGAGTAAATGTGAAATAAATAATACAGAAAATCTAATAAAAGTAAAAGTAAGAGAGTTTTGTTCACTGTAGAGTTGTGGTGACTGTTGACTTCTGAACTCTCTCTCTTCTGACAGGGAATTCCCAAACATAATTGATGCATTGTGAGAGATGTAGTTTACAGTCAATGCTGGCTTTAAAGCAGTTTATTTTAAGACATTAATACAGGAATATTCAGCTAAATTACTCACAAGGCTAAAGTTACGTAAAGCCAGCAGCTCAGGGGAAAGACAAGTAATATTATCCTTCACCTTTTAAAGTGCCTGTGACAATGTATCTTCTTCAAATACAAAAAGTCGAAGAAAACATCTTTATATTTAAGAAAGTTGGAATAATACACACGATTTAACCCATTTTGTCCCATAACTGGCATATTTTCTTTTGAACTTTGTTCAGCCAAAGTGAAACAGGAAGTGACATCAAAGGGGAATTCTTTAACAAAGAAAACTCTCTGGTCTTTGTTTATTGAAACAACATTTGAACTCTGAAGCTTCTTCATCTCTCTGATAGAGACTCAAAATAATCTTAAGAAACATCAGATTCTTCTCTACAGTCTGGGTTGTTGGCTGTTTTAGCAACGCTCTGTTCATATTCAGACATTCCCCTTTGACATCACTTCCTGTTACTTTACAGACAAAAATCTAGACAACTGTTCATCTCAGCAACATGAAATTTCTTTTGCAATATTTTATCAATGTCCTCTTTCTAAAACTGCATTTATATGTATTACAAAAATTTGATGTCACAGCCACTTTAAGTATTCTTTAACACAGAGCTATTAATTTGACTTCAAGATGTTTTTGCTTTGATTATTATTTTACTTCAGTTTTCTGTCATTTCCGTTACCTACATGTTCAATCACAATCACTGCAAAAAACTATTACCAGCTGTTTAAAATAAATGTTGAAACAAACAATAAGTATGGGAATTTACATTGCATCATAAATTGAAAGTTTACCATTGATATAAAAACTACCTTTCATATTAAATTAATATATATTGTATGTTTGTTGGGGTTTTTAATGGGTGTGGGCTGGATGGAGTTCATGCTGGTCTTGAATTTGACATGTGCTTTTAGATATTTCCCTGCTTCAACACCTGTTTGATGAATGAGTGATTGACAGGCGTCTGCTACGCTTGATGACTTTCTGAGCAGGTAATTTAGTTATTTGAGTCAGGTGTGCCAAATCAGGGAAACAGGTAAAACACATAGGTCAGTGGGTCACTAGGAACAGGGTTAGAGACTTATGCAATAAAGGAAATATATATAAAATTCCCTTCTCACCCTCCGCGGGCGGTCTCTTTCATCCTCTGAGCTCGGGTCCTCTACCAGAGGCCTGGGAGCTTGAGGGTTCTGCGCAGTAGCCTAGAACTGCACATTTCTGGACTGAGATGTCTGATGTTGTTCCTGGGATCTGTTTTAGCCACTGCTCCAGTTTGGGGGTGACTGCCCCGAGGGCCCCGATGACCACAGGCACCACTGTGGTCTTCACCTTCCAGGTCTTTTCCAGTTCCTCTCTGAGGCCCTGGTATTTCTCCAGTTTCTCATGCTCCTTTTTCCTGATGTTGTGGTCACTTGGTATTGCGACATCCACCACAACGGCTTTCCTCTGTTCTTTATCCACCACCACAATGTCCGGTTGGTTCTCCATTACCATKTTMTCTGTCTGGATCTGGAAGTCCCACAGGATCTTAGCTCGGTCATTCTCCACCACCTTTGGGGGTGTTCCCCACTTCGATCTCGGGGCTTCCAGTCCATATTCTGCACAGATGTTCCTGTACACTATGCCCGCCACTTGGTTATGTCGTTCCATGTATGCTTTCCCTGCCAGCATCTTGCACCCTGCTGTTATGTGCTGGACTGTCTCAGGGGCCTCCTTGCACAACCTACACCTTGGGTCTTGTCTGGTGTGGTAGATC